CAGCAGCCAGTGACTGGAGTGCCGCCGGACCGGCCAAGCTGCCACCCGGCGGCTCCAGCCTCGAACGCGGCCGGCCCCCTCTCAGTGTGCCACCGGACCGGCCACCCGGTGGCACCCATGTGTCAGCGCAGCGCCCAGGTGCCGCGGCCCACCGGGAAATTTCTCGGTATCCCGGTGGGCCAGTCCGGCCCTGCCTTTCCTCACAATTAAACAAGGTTAATAATAGCTGCTGACAATCAGCCCAGGTGGGAATGTGGGTCTGTATAATAGAAGAGACCAAGTCCGTCATGGCTTGAGGTTTTTTCTGTGCACAAGGAATTATGGGTCTTCCAATTGAACAGGTCGGTCGTGGTGAAAGGGACATAAACAAATACAGGATCTGCCTGCTGTAGTTGACCATTACCATTAACATGTGGTTGGCCAGGGGTAAGCCGAAGTGGCATTTGCAAATGTCGGGATGGAAGGGTGACAGTCAGTTGTCGGGTTAGTATGGTACTTCGGTAAGGTTGCTTAATAACAGGTTCCAGTCTAAGAGTAGTAAGATAGGTGGAAGGGGGTGAGTTAACTTTACTGATCAAGCATTAGGTGGATAAAAAAAAAAAAATGTGTTAAACCAAAAACCTACCAGTAGGTGTCACCAGAGGGTAAGTATTTGTATCAAAATAGTCTTTATGGGTCTAGTAATAAAACTTAGCTTTTTAATATATTTATACCTAAAATAAAACCTTATAACAAGGAATATTAAAATAGGGTAAGCAGTCCTACTTCTGTCTGTTGTAAACGGTCATTAGTATTTTAAATAATGTAAGTCAATGTAACTCCCGAAGATGGCCAGTAGGGGGCCCTAGAGTGCTTCTAAGGTAAATTAAGAATCTCAGTTTGTATTTTAGCAAAAGGGAATATCTTGGACAAAGCTGGGAGGGGCCCGTCCAGTAACTAAAAAAGGCTAAAAGTATATTCTGGCGTCTTATACCATTGATTATTTCTTCCAGTTGTATTTTAGACTGTTACTGTTACTGAAGGCACACAGGGTTCAGTAGTTGTAGTGCTATTTCAGTGATTTTGGTACAATGTCATTGCTGAGAATTATCTGATCCAATAGACTCAGTTACTGTTATTAAAAATTATCCTCACAATTTTAATTGCTAATAAAATTCAATGCTAAAATACACTCCTACCAAAAGGGGGTCCGTTCAAAATACAAAGAACCAGTGGGGGGTTGGTACAGAAATAGGAGAGTTTGAAACAAAAGAACAGAGTCTAAGTTAGGTATTTGGGTAGGCGGGGACAATTGAGCAGGGGGAGTGCAAATACCAGCTATACCAGTTTTAGCTTTGGAGGAAGAGTGGGGGAGTGGCTACTCTGGCTCTGGAGGATGAATAAGGGGGTTGGTAATCAGGTGCAAGGGGGTGTCCAAACTAGGTGGAATTAAGGCCTTAGTGGATAAACGAGTTCTGACTACCATGTGGCTCTATTGTTCCTTATGGCATATCTTGATCCAATTAGGCAGTCTCTCAACAATCTGCTTCCAACCATCAACACACAGAAACCAATCATAGAATTCCAGCCTACTAGTTACAGCCACATGTACACGCTACACTAAATTTAGTTCAAGACTGCCACATGGAGGCAATGCGGCCACCAGTACAAGCCACTCCCTACTACACAGTGTAGTCAAACGTTTTGGGGACTTTGCACCATAATCGCAAGCATCATATCCCTTAGAAAACTAACAGTTTGGCTGCTCACTGTTATAAAAAAAAAAAGGTCTTTTAAACTTAAGGGGGGACTTATTGCCCCCCCCTCCCCCGGCTTCCACCCCTGCCTGAGCGGGTACCGAGGCAGACCGGGAGCACCGGCTGTCAGAGCGGGCACATGTGCTGCAGGGACTCATGATCCGCCTCCCTGCACTTCAGGGTTCACTGTGAAGTGCAGGGAGACGGATCAGTGTTGATCCTCTTCTCAATGTGTAAAAAAATTAAAAATAAAGTTAAATCCCACCCCTCCTTTCCCCTGCTTTAATAAGTGATCAATTGGTAGGGTATACATTTTAATGTCATTTGATTTTTTTTTTTAAAACCCTGAGGGTTAATTATTATTTTTTTAACCCTCAGAGGTTAAATTTATATTATTAATTAATTTAAATATTTAACAATTGTATATTCAGCTAGCTGGGATGGGTGGAAGTTAGTGGGGAATTGGGGAATTTGGTGTTAGGCTAACTAGGGGTTAACGTTAAAAAAAAGTTTTAAAATAAGCTTTAAAAAGGTAAAAAAGTTTAAAAAAAATGTTTTAGTAACGTATAAGTAAAAAAAAAAAAAATACCACCCCCCTTTACCCAGTCTAAATAAAAATTAACCCCTTCCCTGCCAGTTGATCACTGCCTACAGTGATCAAAATACAGATCACAGTATTATACTGTAATCTAATTTCTTTAAACCCCTGAGGATTAACTTTTATTTATTTTTTAACCCTCAGGGTTCAATTTATTTAATTAATTAATTTAAATATTTTATAATTATATATTTTGCTAGCTGGAGTGGGTGGGAGTTATAGGAAAGGGGGGAATTTACTGTTAGTGCTGCTCACTGCTAGTTAGGGGTTAACGGTAAAAGAAAAGTTTAGAAAAAAATTTAAAAGTGTAAAAAAGTTAAGAAAGTGTAAAACATTTAATAAGTAAAAACAAAAAAGTTTAAAAACGGGTTTTACAAAGTAAAAAAAGTTTTACAAAGTAAAAAAAATACATTAAAAAATGCTTATTACCACTACACCTGGTACAAGCTAGCGGAAAAATGATCCCACGCTAAGGTTCAAAATATGCCTTTTAAATTGCTCTGGGATGTCTTCTTTAAGAAATGGTATGGCTTTATGGGGTAACTGGACACAGCGTAAAAATTCAAAGTTTGAAAAAAACTGGAATGGCTATGTCTCAAATGTGCCCCTCCAATGTCCACATATACCAGGCAAAGGTACATACGGGGGTATTGCTGTACTCGGCCGACATAGCTGAGCAACATATGAAGTATTATACAGTCGTAGCACACATACGATTTGCAAAATATACTGTGCAAACTCGCTTTGTGTGTCAAAAAGGCAATAAAATGCTTATTACCACTACACTTGGTACAAGCTAACGGAAAAATTATCCCACGCTAAGGTTCAAAATATGCCTTTTGAAATACCCTGGGATGTGTTCTTTAAGAAATGGTATGCCTTTATGGTGTAGTTGTAATATGTAGCCTGCTCAAGTGCTCCAAAGTGGGACACGGACGCATCAAAACCCTCCATGAAAATTCACACTTAAAAACCTTAACTTGTCACATCTCTTTTACAGCAGTGTAACTTAACAAAATAGTGTCTACGTCATACATTGGGCATATTGTTTTACTCAGAAGACTTAGCTGAGCATAATTTGGGGGGTTTGTACTTAGTGGCACATATGAAATGTACAAAATGCCCAACAAAAATGTCCCAAATTATTTTTTACCACATACTTTGGCATATATTGGTGAAAAAATGGGGGCATGTTAAGGCATAATATGCACCATATGAGATACCCTGGAGTGTCTACTTTTACAAATGGTAGGCCTTTGAGGGTTTTTTTGAACAGTCATACTGCTATAATACCCCAAATTGAAGCATAGGCCCATTAAATCCGCCTCTCAAAATTCTACTGTAAATGTTGAAACGGACAGGTCTCCTATATGGCACTGTAGCTTCACGAAATAGTGCCAAAACATACAATGGGGGTATCATTGTACTCAGCAGAAGTAACTGAACACAAAATAAAACTTTGTACAGGAATAGCACACAACAACTTTACAAAATACACATGAGAAGTTCTTTGTTATAAGTTTGTGTGCCAAAACCCCCCCAAAACAAAATTTTACTCCAATATTTAGCAGAGATTGGCTGTGAAATGGCTACGTAGAAAGTGTCAAAGCAACCTTAGGAAAATAGCCTGTGATGTCTACTTTATATAAATATATACTTTTGTGTGGCAATTTTGTTTTCTTTTATGGCTATTAAGCTTACAAGACAAACATACCAAATTCTAAAATCGCTCCACATTAAAGGACCACTATAGTGCCAGGAAAACATACTTGTTTTCCTGGCACTATAGTGCCCTGAGGGTGCCCCCACCCTCAGGGTCCCCCTCCCGCCCGGCTCTGGAAGGGGGTAAGGGGTTAAAACTTACCTTTTTCCAGCGCTGGCTGGGGAGCTCTCTGCCTCCGATCCTCCCGTCGGCTAAATGCACACGCGCGGCAAGAGCTGCGCGCGCATTCAGCCGGTCACATAGGAAAGCATTATCAATGCTTTCCTATGGACGCTTGTTCTCACTGTGATTTTCACAGTGAGAATCATGCAAGTGCCTCTAGCGGCTAGAAGCCTAGCTGGACCTGGCACCCAGACCACTTCATTAAGCTGAAGTGGTCTGGGTGCCTAGAGTGGTCCTTTAAAAGTTTATTTTACTCCTTGTGCTTTGTGACCTGTAACTACCAAAAACAACTTAAAATCCCAGACACATTATATATTCTGTAAATCAGAACAACTAAATGAATTTATTTTTCATTACTTTCTTTAACCTGCACTAATTATGGACACATTATTATTGCAAAAACTGTTTAAAAAAAAACAAAACACAAAATCTTTCATTTTTTTTGCATTTTTCGTTTTTGTTTTAATAATAAATAAGCATTTATATATATATATATATGTTACATCAAATTAAAGCCCTTTCTGTCCTTTAAAAAAACAGTATATTATATGTGTCGGTGCAATAAACGAGAGAGATGCAAATTGCAGTTGAACGCGAACAGCAAGTAAAAATGCAAAAATTGCTTGTGTCATTAAGCGTAAGACAAGCTTCTGAAGCTGTGTCTTTAAGGGGTTAATGAATAACCCTAAAACTATGCAACCATCAGTCATCACCAGTTTGTTTGTTTTTATAACTTTCTACTGTTAACTACAATGCTTATAAACCAAAATATAACTGGTCGCTGCCAGTGAGGAGATGATTTTATTGCAGTCAGCCAGTAACCACACTGGGCTACAGACCAGCATTAGTAACAGCGAGACTGCCCTGTGTGCAGTGCGTCATAGGAACCTTAGAGCCCCGCCTCTCCGCTGGGGGAACGTGTTCAAGGTTGCACAGGGCAGAAGTGAAAAGTTATCGCAAAGGATTATGGGAGCTAAGTTGCTGTCCTTGTAGTTAGAGTGCGGACCATGCTGAGGATCCCTGTGTGGCGGACAGTGTGTGCAGCATTATCCTCCCGGGGGCCAGCCGGCCGCCTGCGGACACTGCATGTGAGTGTGAGCCGGCCATCCCAAGAGCCCAGCGCCGCGATAGACCCAGCATTACTGGAAGTCCTGGTCTGTCCGCTCTCCAGGAAGCCATTGAGGTGACACCTGACATTACCTGTCTGTCTGTCTGTGTTAGAGGGGATCAGACATTGTCTGACATTACCTGTCTGTCTGTCTGTGTTAGTGGGGATCAGACATTGTCTGACATTACCTGCCTGTCTGTCTGTGTTAGAGGGGATCAGACATTGTCTGACATTACCTGCCTGTCTGTCTGTGTTAGAGGGGATCAGACATTGTCTGACATTACCTGCCTGTCTGTGTTAGTGGGGATCAGACATTGTCTGACATTACCTGTCTGTCTGTGTTAGTGGGGATCAGACATTGTCTGACACTACCTGCCTGTCTGTGTTAGTGGGGTTCAGGGATTGTCTGACATTACCTGCCTGTCTGTCTGTGTTAGTGGGGTTCAGGGATTGTCTGACATTACCTGCCTGTCTGTCTGTGTTAGTGGGGTTCAGGGATTGTCTGACATTACCTGCCTGTCTGTCTGTGTTAGTGGGGTTCAGGGATTGTCTGACATTACCTGCCTGTCTGTCTGTGTTAGTGGGGTTCAGGGATTGTCTGACATTACCTGCCTGTCTGTCTGTGTTAGTGGGGTTCAGGGATTGTCTGACATTACCTGCCTGTCTGTCTGTGTTAGTGGGGTTCAGGGATTGTCTGACATTACCTGCCTGTCTGTCTGTGTTAGTGGGGTTCAGGGATTGTCTGACATTACCTGCCTGTCTGTCTGTGTTAGTGGGGTTCAGGGATTGTCTGACATTACCTGCCTGTCTGTCTGTGTTAGTGGGGTTCAGGGATTGTCTGACATTACCTGCCTGTCTGTCTGTGTTAGTGGGGTTCAGGGATTGTCTGACATTACCTGCCTGTCTGTCTGTGTTAGTGGGGTTCAGGGATTGTCTGACATTACCTGCCTGTCTGTCTGTGTTAGTGGGGTTCAGGGATTGTCTGACATTACCTGCCTGTCTGTCTGTGTTAGTGGGGTTCAGGGATTGTCTGACATTACCTGCCTGCCTGTCTGTGTTAGTGGGGTTCAGGGATTGTCTGACATTACCTGCCTGCCTGTCTGTGTTAGTGGGGTTCAGGGATTGTCTGACATTACCTGCCTGTCTGTGTCTGTGTTAGTGGGGTTCAGGGTTGTCACGGCGTACCTGCCTGTCTGTCTCTGCAGTGTTAGTGGGGTTCAGGGGATTGTCTGACATTGCCTGCCTGCCTGTGTTGGGGATCGAGACATTGTCTGACATTACCTGTCTGTCTGTCTGTGTTAGTGGGGATCAGACATTGTCTGACATTACCTGCCTGTCTGTCTGTGTTAGTGGGGATCAGACGTTGTCTGACACTACCTGCCTGTCTGTGTTAGAGGTGGGTTCAGGGGATTGTCTGACGTGCCTGTCTGTGTTAGTGGGGTTCAGGGATTGTCTGACATTACCTGCCTGTCTGTCTGTGTTAGTGGGGTTCAGGGATTGTCTGACATTACCTGCCTGTCTGTCTGTGTTAGTGGGGTTCAGGGATTGTCTGACATTACCTGCCTGTCTGTCTGTGTTAGTGGGGTTCAGGGATTGTCTGACATTACCTGCCTGTCTGTCTGTGTTAGTGGGGTTCAGGGATTGTCTGACATTACCTGCCTGTCTGTCTGTGTTAGTGGGGTTCAGGGATTGTCTGACATTACCTGCCTGTCTGTCTGTGTTAGTGGGGTTCAGGGATTGTCTGACATTACCTGCCTGTCTGTCTGTGTTAGTGGGGTTCAGGGATTGTCTGACATTACCTGCCTGTCTGTCTGTGTTAGTGGGGTTCAGGGATTGTCTGACATTACCTGCCTGTCTGTCTGTGTTAGTGGGGTTCAGGGATTGTCTGACATTACCTGCCTGTCTGTCTGTGTTAGTGGGGTTCAGGGATTGTCTGACATTACCTGCCTGTCTGTCTGTGTTAGTGGGGTTCAGGGATTGTCTGACATTACCTGCCTGTCTGTCTGTGTTAGTGGGGTTCAGGGATTGTCTGACATTACCTGCCTGTCTGTCTGTGTTAGTGGGGTTCAGGGATTGTCTGACATTACCTGCCTGTCTGTCTGTGTTAGTGGGGTTCAGGGATTGTCTGACATTACCTGCCTGTCTGTCTGTGTTAGTGGGGTTCAGGGATTGTCTGACATTACCTGCCTGTCTGTCTGTGTTAGTGGGGTTCAGGGATTGTCTGACATTACCTGCCTGTCTGTCTGTGTTAGTGGGGTTCAGGGATTGTCTGACATTACCTGCCTGTCTGTCTGTGTTAGTGGGGTTCAGGGATTGTCTGACATTACCTGCCTGTCTGTCTGTGTTAGTGGGGTTCAGGGATTGTCTGACATTACCTGCCTGTCTGTCTGTGTTAGTGGGGTTCAGGGATTGTCTGACATTACCTGCCTGTCTGTCTGTGTTAGTGGGGTTCAGGGATTGTCTGACATTACCTGCCTGCCTGTCTGTGTTAGTGGGGTTCAGGGATTGTCTGACATTACCTGCCTGCCTGTCTGTGTTAGTGGGGTTCAGGGATTGTCTGACATTACCTGCCTGCCTGTCTGTGTTAGTGGGGTTCAGGGATTGTCTGACATTACCTGCCTGTCTGTCTGTGTTAGTGGGGTTCAGGGATTGTCTGACATTACCTGCCTCTGTCTGTGTTAGTGGGGTTCAGGGATTGTCTGACATTACCTGCCTGCCTGTCTGTGTTAGTGGGGTTCAGGGATTGTCTGACATTACCTGCCTGCCTGTCTGTGTTAGTGGGGTTCAGGGATTGTCTGACATTACCTGCCTGTCTGTGTTAGTGGGGTTCAGGGATTGTCTGACATTACCTGCCTGTGTCTGTGTTAGTGGGGTTCAGGGATTGTCTGACATTACCTGCCTGTCTGTCTGTGTTAGTGGGGTTCAGGGATTGTCTGACATTACCTGCCTGCCTGTCTGTGTTAGTGGGCTTCAGGGATTGTCTGACATTACCTGCCTGCCTGTCTGTGTTAGTGGGGATCAGGGATTGTCTGACATTACCTGCCTGCCTGTCTGTGTTAGTGGGCTTCAGGGATTGTCTGACATTACCTGCCTGCCTGTCTGTGTTAGTGGGCTTCAGGGATTGTCTGACATTACCTGCCTGCCTGTCTGTGTTAGTGGGGATCAGGGATTGTCTGACATTAACTACCTGCCTGTCTGTGTTAGTGGGGATCAGACATTGTCTGACATTAACTACCTGCCTGTCTGTGTTAGTGGGGATCAGACATTGTCTGACACTACCTGCCTGTCTGTGTTAGTGGGGATCAGACATTGTCTGACACTACCTGCCTGTCTGTGTTAGTGGGGATCAGACATTGTCTGACACTACCTGCCTGTCTGTGTTAGTGGGGATCAGACATTGTCTGACACTACCTGCCTGTCTGTCTGTGTTAGTGGGGATCAGACATTGTCTGACATTACCTGCCTGTCTGTCTGTGTTAGTGGGGATCAGACATTGTCTGACATTACCTGCCTGTCTGTGTTAGTGGGGATCTGACATTACCTGCCTTGTCTGTGTTAGTGGGGTTCAGGGATTGTGTTCTCATAGGACACCCCTTCCCCTTTCATTTTCATTCAGGTTAACAAGCTTGTAGTCTTCCTATTGAATGCACAATCACTGACATATCCAACCTGAGTGTTCTTTTAGTGATTGCCCTTTATATGTAAAGGGAAATTGAAACAACATTACTAGTACAGCTCAGTGCAGTGGTTATCATGGCAACAGTCGAGGAATGCCATCCTTTGATGTTGTGGGTGTGTTCTTGTAGCTGTTTGTTGTTTTTTAGTATATTTGTGTGTTTCGACTCAGGCACTTAGAGACTGCCTTCCACAGCAACTTGATATGACCCCCACCCAAGCTGACATAACTTCCACTTATACATAATCACTATCAGTTTTGTACAGTTATATGCTAAGTATGCAGGGCCAGGGGGAAATGAGGAGAGGTGCTCATATATTCTTGACTGGTTAACCTCTACAGTAAGTTGTAGTGGTTATGTTTGCTTAGACTGCCTCTCTAAGACAGACATCACAATGGTAACTGTACTATTCTTGTTTTAATAAGTGTTCTATGTCTTAACTGTACAAAGTTTCTTGTCTGCACCCTAACCCCATTTTCATGATATACTTTCATTTCAGAATATAGGTCTCAATTTAATAAGCTTTCCAAATGATTCAATACTGTTAGAAACACTTTTCAAATGATTTATTGACAAATAATCACATAGACTTTAATGTTAGAAATGTAGAAAATAATGCAGGCACTCCAAAGTATCCCATAAAAAGGCAACTTGACAAAGATCTTAGGGATGAAACGTTGTTTTGGTTCGTGGGTCCAATAAAAGTTGCCTTTTTTGGGGATACTTAAGAGTGCCTGGATTACTTTCTACATTTCTACTTCTACTTTTGGTCCTCTGGTACTGGGACTGATCCAACTAGCACCCAAGGATTCCTTAGATGAAGGGTTTGAGTGCAGTTTCACAATTTATCTATGGATAGACTTAAATCACAAGTTGTTGTTTTGTTCTTGTTTTTTTTTATAAACAATATTGAGTTTTTGGGAAAACGTATCAAATTGAGGCCACGGTAGCAATATGAAAAGAAAAATGTCTTTCCATGGCAGCACTACAGTTTTTCCTCTCTAGTGATTTTTCTCCTTTTATTCCTCCTGGAATTTATTCTTTAGGAGGGATAAGAAGTTGGTAGCCACTAACAAAATGGACATAGGATTTATATCCCCTCCTATTATTTTGTGGCTCACTTGGGTTTAATTTTACCCCTGCCCATGCCTCAGGACACTGCGCCTCACCAAGGGCGACCCCCCCGAAGGACTCTCCCCTTAGCGACCGTGGAGTTATGCTGCAGTGATCCTACAGGTAGCAGCCGGACGTGCCAGTGACAGTAAGGTGATAATTCCCAGGTAAGGGTCCACCTATTTCAGTTAAGCCTTGAGGCTATTCTGGCTTTCCCATACGTATGTTATGTGGAGGATTTAAATGCAGTTTACCTCTAAGGGGGTTTTCTTGCAATCTGCCCATGGTATTTCTCTAATTGGGGGACTCCCTCTTTTAATCTCCCTGGTCTGCTTTACCTCTTCGGGTTTTCGTAGTTGCCTTGTGGAGCCTGTGATTAGGATCCACCGGCTGCATCAAGAGGCATATGAAAGGTTTGAAAGATCCTATGTCCATTTTGTGAGTGGCTACCAACTTCTTATCCCTCCTAAGGCATTAATTCCAGGAGGAATAAAAGGAAGCAATCACTCGAGAGAGGAAAAAACTGTAGTGCTACCATGGCCTATATCCGGGAAAAGAAAATATCGGTGAGTATGAATTAATTTTCTATTTTAACATACATTTTCACAGGCCATGAAACCAAGTAAATGTTGTTTGTGTTTTTTTTTTTTTTTTTACCCCTTAAAACCGGAGTGCGTACTATTACGCCCTATTCTAAGCGGCTCTAAACGCCGCAGGGCGTAATAGTACGCCCTCCGTTTTTTGTTACCCAGTCGCCGGCGGTCCGGGTACTCACCTGGGATCCCAGGGAGTCCCCCGCGGCGGATCCTGCCACCTCCGGCCATGTGAGAGTGAGGTACTTGCGAGGACCTCACAATCACATGGCCGGGTTAGCTGGCTGCTGCATTGCCAGCAGGGGGACTGCCTATAATGACAGTCCCCCTGCTGGCTGAATTCAAATAAAATAAAGCCAAAATCAGTGTAAAAAAAAATAAATTGTATACTTAGATCATATATAATATATACATACACACACATACACTGTCTAGGTGTATTTTACTATTAAAATAAATAAATATATATATATATATATATATATATATATATATATATATATCTCTCTATCTATCTCAAATTACACGTAGACTGATACTGATTAAATATATATATAATTATTGTGTTATATATATATATATATATATATATATATATATATATATATATCTCTATTATAAAAAAATATGTAAATGTTAAAAAATAAAATTAAAAAAATAATTAAAAATAAATAATTAAAAAATATATAGATGTGCTATTTCGTTCTAACTGTAGTGTGATATTAATATATATTTATATCAAAATACACGTAGAACAAAATAACATATACATCTATATACATAAATATATACGTATATATCACTATATTAGGGATTTAGTTTAGGGAATTTAATTTGCTAGCACTATATTTAACCCTATAACTTTCCAAGACACCATAAAACCTGTACATGGGGGGTACTGTTTTACTCGGGAGACTTCGCTGAACACAGATATTAGTGTTTCAAAACAGTAAAATGTATTACAACGATGATATCGCCAGTAAAAGTGAAGTTTTTTGCATTTTTCACGCACAAACAGCACTTACACGGACAATATTATTGCTGTGATACTTTTTACTGTTTTGAAACACAAATATTTGTGTTCAGCGAAGTCTCCTGAGTACAACAGTACCCCTCATGTACAGGTTTTATGGTGTTTTCAAAAGTTACAGCATCAAATATAAGGCTTTTTTCATTTTTTTTCACATTAAAATTCTCCAGATTGGTTACGTTGCCTTTGAGACCCTATGGTAGCCCAAGAATTAAAATTACCCCTATGATGGCATACCATTTGCAATAGTAGACAACCCAAGGTATTGCAAATGGGGTATGTCCAGTCTTTTTTAGTAGCAACTTTGGCCAGTGTTTATGACCAAATGGCTACTAAAAAAGACTGGACATACCCCGTTTGCAATACCTTGGGTTGTCTACTATTGCAAATGGTATGTAATTATGGGTGTAAATTTTAATTCCTGGGCTTTCAATTTCAAATGTAACTTCCCAAAACACCATAAAACCTGTACATAGGGGGTTCTGTTTTACACTGTTTTACATTTTATTGCAGTAAAAGAAAACAGTATTATGACATGGACAGTTAAAATGTCATGTAGAACTAAAAAAATAACAATTTCTTATTTTCTCCCATTTTTTTTTCATATTAAATTGTTTCATAGCTAAATATTTGATATTAAATGAAAGCCCTGTTTCCCCTTAATAAAATGATATATAATAAGGGTGGGTGTATTAACATGAAAGAGGTGAGTTACGGTTGGACAGACATATAGCGCAAATGCCAGGTTTTGTTTGCGTTTTGTTTTGTTCACAACATGTACATTTGGCTCAGTCCTTAAGGGTTTAAATTGTTTTGTTTTCCCAGCATTTACTATTCATTGCTTTCCTCTTTGTTTAGGTATGAAGAATCCACTAATGAGCTAATTAATGATGAGCTGGGTATCTCCTACCCTATTGTAGATGGAATACCTAATATGACTCCTCAGGATGCAAGAATGATTCACAAAGATCAGAAGCCAAAGGCAACTGACGACACATCATAGATGTAATTGCATGAAGCTTCGTCGGACACCATGATCCTGTCCCTACCAACTCTGACTGTGCTTGTCCCTTTGCTGTCATTGGCTGGTTTATTTTACTCTGCATCAGTAGAAGAGGATTTCCCTCAAGGATGCACAAGCACAGCAAGTGTGTGTTTTTACAGCCTCTTGCTTCCAATCACTCTGCCTGTGTATGTGTTTTTTCATTTGTGGACATGGATGGGAATTAAACTTTTCAGGCACAATTAACACATAACTCTATGGAAGGAGCTGCTTCTTTGTTATATTTAGATTTCAGCATTCACAGAGGCTAAATGTTGAGATACATACTTGCCATGGCATTACTGTAACATGTCAGCTAAACGTCTTCTTTTTTTTGTTCAAGCTGCTTCTAGTTACTGTTTAATTTATAACCTACATTTCTATAATGCCTGGGGCTCTCGACTGTTTGGGGTTTATTGAAATTAAGCCAATTTATGGCAGTGTACAATCAATTTATCAGCTTTACTAATGTATGAATAAACAAACATCTTAACATATGTCTTCTGTCCAGTGAGCTTTAGGGCTTTATGAACATGTCATTTTCACTGAAAGAACGTATTCACAGTTACTGGCTGGTTGTGGGGGGGGGGAGGGGGGCTGTGCTTAGATCGTAAGTGCGCTAATCAGCAATATGTACTATAGGGTGCAAAATACTTAACATGGGAAAATAAATACAAATTCTACACTGCTGTTTTGGCCTTAAAGGAGCACTATAGGGTTATTAGGTCTCGCTCGTGTTCCCTCCCCCCCTCCCCAATCTGGCTGGTTAAAACCCCTTCAGCCACTTACTTTAATCCTTAAAAGGTATGAAAACAGTGATATATTTGATTAAGAAGATATTCCCTACGCTTGAGCATCACATGTAATGTACAAAGGACTATGTAATTCCCTGAATAGAGGAGTATCACGGTCTGTTTTATATCCTGCACTATAATTGCAATCTATAGCAAACAATATTTGTGGCAATATGTGTTAAAGGGAAAATGCTACATTTATGCATAATTATGACATGTATGAACATTGTAAAGTCTATTTTGTACCAAAAACTATTTGACAGAGCTTGCATGGCAATTGGTATAACTTTTTTTTTTTTTTTTTTACTTTATTTTGTTTTAGGCAGTAGGTTAAACATTACATCTGCATATAGACAATTAAAATAACAATCCATATTGCTTTGATTCATTGTGTTATAACTGGTTTATGAACTTAACCGTTGTAACAACTTGGTCAGTATTTTTGCAATTATGATAATATAGGTATATGGTAGCTGTTCACTTGGATTAAACTTGTGGTAAATTCAACCAACATAGCGGTTGGTGCGTGGCGAGAGCTATCTGGTGTTTTCAACTTACTATCAAATAGCCAGATATGTCGCTATCTGGCATTGCTTACGGGCGTCTGCTGGCCTGCGACCTATGTATGTTTTTTGAATAACCTGGAAGAGTGTACAAAAGTCAAAAATGGAAGGAGGTGAAGAGAAGGTTGTTTAAAAGAGTGTGTATAACTTTTTAAGTTGTCCAAGTTCTTAACCAGAAGCCTAGACTTTGTGCTCTGTTTTTTTAGGACCAAAAGGGCCTTCGAATACCTGATATTTATATTCACCACAAGTGTAAATATGCTTAAAATTAGAAGAGTTGGGGAATGGAGAAAAAGAAAAATGTTTTTCACTTCTCGCTTTCTGATTCTTTTTTTACACATGAAGTGCAACTAAAAAAAAAGAACTTAAGATCGAGTCAGTGTCATTACCGATCTCAGCAGAGGGATTTCCACGCTGCTATGCAGTTTGTGACAACACCTACTGGCTGTGTCAATCAGCATCTCTTAATAGAAATGCACTGAATCGTTGCATCTCTATTGGGATTATTTGACATCTCCATGAAGAGTGTGTAACTCCCTGAAACCTTGTCCAGAAAGTCACTCTAGTGGCTAACAGCCACTAGAGGTGAACTTAGGCAGCAGAGTAAAGACTGGCTTTTCTCTGAAAAATATCTTAATAGCAGCAAGGTAGTACAGGTGATACTCGAAAAATTAGAATATCGTGCAAAAGTTCATTTATTTCTGTAATGCAATGTAAAAGGGGAAACTAATATATGAGATAGACGCATTACATGCAAAGCAAGATAGTTCAAGCCGTGATTTGTCATAAGGGCGATGATTATGGCTTTCAGCTCATGAAAACCCCAAATCCACAATCTCAGTAAATTAGAATATTACATGCAATCAATAAAACAAGGAGTGTACATAGAACAATATCGGACCTCTGAAAAGTATAAGCATGCATATGGACTCAGTACTTGGTTTGGGCCCCTTTTGCAGCAATTACTGCATGAATGTGGCGTGGCATGGAAGCTATCAGCCTGTGGCACTGCTGAGATGTTATGGAAGACCAGGATGCTGGAAAATGAAGTCAGCATCCCCATAAAGCTAGTCGTCGGAAGGGAGCATGAAGTGCTCCAAAATCTTCTGGTAGATGGCTGCGTTGACCCTGGACTTAATGAAGCACAGTGGACCAATGCCAGCAGATGACATGGCTCCCCAAATCAACACAGACTGTGGAAACTTCACACTGTACTTCAAGCATCTTGCAGTGTGTGCCTCTCCATTCTTCCTCCAGACTCTGGGTCATTGGTTTCCAAATGAGATGCAAAAGTTGCTCTCATCAGAAAAGAGGACTTTGGACCACTGAGCAATAGACCATTGGTTAGTACAACGCGGAACATCTTTTCTTTTTGTGCAAATTAAATGAATACCAAAGAAATGCTAAGGGGAGGGGGAAAAATCTCCCATACAAAATTAACCTCTTTTCCTCTTGGCAACTTAGAAGAACCCATTTGACACTGTAGCTGCTTCATCTCATTAAAGTGGTTATAGAGTGTTTGGAATACCCTGTCCCTGAGGTTTTAACCCTTCAGGTGTAAACATAGCAGTTTCAGAGAATTTTGGGGTTTCAGAGAAACTGCTATGTTTACATTGCAGGGTTAATCCAATCTCTAGTGGCTGTCTTCCTGACAGCCGCTAAAAGCGCTTCTGCGTCGCTGGATGCGAAATCCACTGTGCAGAACGTTCATAGGAAAGCATTGAGAAATGCTTTCCTATAGACAGTTTGAATGGGCGCGTGGCTCTTCCGCTCCACTCAGGAGCTGACATCAGCAGGGGAGGAGAGGTCACCGGCGCTGAGGGAGCCCGGTGCTGGATAAAGGTAAGTAGCTGAAGGGTTTTTTACCCCTACGAGTGGGGGGGGGGGGTGTCCTGAGGATGCTATAGTGTCAGGAAAACGGGATGGTTTTCCTGACACTATAGTGATCCTTTAAAGTGCTTTGCTGCTTTCCTAAAGGGAACGTTTTAACCTTAAAGGCTGCCTCCAACACCTGATCTGCACTCCCACATGGCATCCTGCTTTTGAAATTGAGATTAAGGGAATGCAGAGTGCTTCCGGGCAGGGATGCTGCTGACTGGCTAGAGTGGTCAGCTGACGATTTAAGCCAATTAGTAGCTTCCCATTTAAGGAGAGGGGAAATAAAATCCTGACTGAGCCACTATAATGACTACATAGAATTGAGAAGTGAGACACTGCAGGGGCATGATATATAACCCAAACTGCTTCATTAAGCCAAACTTGTTGTGATGCTTGTTGTCCTTTTTAATGATCCACAGTAAGTGAAGTATAATATTCCTAAGGATTAATTTTGTTAAATGTTTCCCTGTCTAATAATATGAAGTCCAACACTAAGTACAACCATCCAAGATGGCGAAGAGAATGAATTTATTTATCAGGCTTTTAATGCAGACAGTGATTATATATCAATGAGCAGACAAAACAAAAACACTTTGCAATAGAATCCGGTACAATAGCTCTACGTTAATCACTTCCGGATCAATTATGTCATGACTCACAATTGCCAGGTATTTTTCCAGCCTTGATCTGCTTGAGAGCAATTTGGTCATTATCAGAAATGCTAGTGAAGGGGGAGAGGTTAAGGAAGTTGAAGGTGGAGCTTGGCCAGGGAAGCATGTGTCATACCGATAAAATGCGTTTTTTTTTTTTTTTTTTGGATTCATTTAGTCTTGCTGTTTAAAATGCTCTTTACTAGTGCTATAAAATATGCTGTTTAATATTTATGAATGTGTAAATGTATTCGTAATATATGAATATGACATTTTCGTAAATAGGTTTTGTATGCTTTGCTATTTTTTTTTTTTTTTTAACTAAGCATTCAAGGTAAAGCAACAAGCTAGCCTTCACGTACCAATTAGTGCTAAACAAAGCAATATTAATATACCTGCATATGATCTATGGTAACCTGGGGTTCTACAAATATTGGGAGTAAGAATTCAATGAGCTTAGCCAATCAAACAGCTGAATTAGAATCAGAAGTCATTATGCTCTGTTTTATTGTGATACCTTTTTACAAAGCATTTCTGAGCAAGACGACACATAGAATTCGAAGTTGAAATGCTTTAGACTTGAGAAGGGAGGTACTCCCGAAAGCTTGTCATTAAAAAAAAATTCTGTTAGTCCAAATAAAAAGGTATTACAAGATACAAACTTTATCAGTTTTTTTTACATCTGGATCACTGGACTAATACGGCTACAATTTCTACTTGAACAATATCAGTATATTTATATTGGTTTTATTTTTTCAGAAGCACAAATTCTATTGTAAGAAATGGAAAGACTGAATTTGAAATTACCAAAAGGCTAAAAAAAAAAACTTAGTCTGGTGACTAAATATGTTTCCTTCCCTAAAAACCGTGTAAGTTCTACATTTTCCAAAATCCTTTATTGTGCTGTATAGCAAGGAGCAGTTTTTTCCGTAGAGTTCCTAAGTCTGAATACTCAGGAAGAATCAGCATTTGAAGGCATGGTCGTGCTGCTGGAAGGAAGGTTTTATCTGGGACCCCAAAGCTTGAGATCTGTATTTTCAGACAGTCTGGGTGAAACACAGGACCTTTGTCATTTCCTGTGACAAACACTGCAAATAAGCATTACATTGGTTAGTACAATGCGGAACATCTTTTCTTTTTGTGCAAATTAAACGAATACCAAAGAAATGCTAAGGGGAGGGGGGAAATCTCCCATACAAGATTAACCTCTTTTCCTCTTGGCAACTTAGAAGAACCCATTTGACACTGTAGCTGCTTCATCTCATTAAAGTGGTTATAGAGTGTTTGGAGTACCCTGGCCTTATCGTTCCATTCAGCATTAAGCGTTTTTTAAAGTTTTAATGGTAATGGTGTCCCCAGAAGTTTACCACTGCTGTGCTGCTTGGGTTAATGAGGAAGAATAAGCCTGAGCAGCAATGAGTAGCTGTGATAGGCTGAAAGCAGTCAGCTGACACTCAGCCAATCATACCCAATGCTAGTATGTACTGGTAACGCCAGTAAGGGCTAGGCTGTGGGTGCCCACGAAACATTATTTAATGGTAAACTTCTTGAAAATGGTTAGGCGCTTAAAGGGAATAGTGCTAGGCAGAGCCATCCATACGACAGTGTGAGGGCAATGGCTCCAGGTGGCATTTTGCCACCACTGCATGCCACTTATGGGCGCCACTAAAATGGCACAAGTGCATAGGCCCGGGCGCAATGAGGTGGGGACACCGTGTGGGTCAATCTCTGTGATGGGGATCCAGAGCAGCGCCTATTGAGCAATGCAGAGTAGGCATCTGCTTACCCCACAGGGCAGGTGCATACTCTGCCTATACATTACATGCCGTGGGGGAGAGGAAGGTGACGAGGGAGCTCTCTCAGCGGTGAAGTTTTTCCTGCTCCCTCGCACGCCCTCTGTGGTGATGCCGGCGCCGGAATGTGAAGCCATTCTGGCCTTGCATCACTAAACAGCGGAAGGGAGGGAGGGGAGAAGAGCAAAGAAGATCGAAGCAACTGGACCCCAGGGAGAAGACTCCTAAAGGTAGGGAGGCCTTATGGCCTAAAAAATAAATACATCAACAAAATATAATTGATTTGTGAGTGTCTCTGTAAGAATGAGTATGTGTGTCTGTGTCTGTCAGTAAGAGTAAGTGTGTCTGCCAGTGCGTATGTGTGTCTGTATGACTGTCAGTGTGTCAAACCAATGAGTGTGTCTCTTTCAGTTAGTGAGTTTGTGTCAAGTCTGTAAGTGTGCGTCTGCCTGTGAGTGTGTGTGTTTAGGTACTGGTTCCCCCCGATCGCATCGGAAAACTTTTTACCCAGGCCGTGCCAGTCTTGTCGTGGCTGGCCCCACCTCCATAGCTGAGCTCATCAATCTTGATGAACTTAGCCAAGCC